AGTCCAAACCCATGACTTGAACCAACGGCGCTGGAGGGCTCAACTAAGCCCATGTGGTTCTAAGGATGGAACCATGTAACCTCTGTTGGCATTTTTGAATCTTGGCTTGGCATGAGTTTGGGCTTTAGACAACTCGGCCCAGAGGTCCAAGGACGAAAATAGTCAAATACTACTTGATGGTAGTTGGTAAAGTTTCATGCATGGTCCTGATTGGTACATGCATTTTCAATCACAGAAGGACAGGACCTAACACTTGGCCCCTAACGCCTGTATTTTGCACAAGTATTCCTTTTATTGTTTTGCTCTCTTAAGATTTTGTGATGGACACTGTGCTAATAGCAATATTTCCCCTCGAATTTATGTTTTTGAACCACCCTTGAAAAAGCCTAGATATAGGATTTAGGTGGATAAACCCGAAAGGTAGAAGGACTCCTACCCTTTAATCCTCATTTTTTGGTAAGTCATTAATTTGGGTAAATGTATTTATCGGGGCAAGTGTTTTTTTAGGAAATATTTATTTGAATAACTGTATTTATCAGTGTTTTTTGTTTTGTGCAGATAGTAAAGTTGTTTATCCAAATCTCATGAGGGTATTACTTATCCAAGTAAATGAACTGTTCGGAAATCATTCTTTTAATTTCCACCAAACCCACTAATACTGAAATACGAATATGATGATTTCTTTATTTTTTATGGGACCCACCAACTTACTCACCGTTTACCGGAAAGTGAATAAATAAAATTAAAAGTCACTCAACAATTGATTCTTCTTACATTCAAATCTGGCACTAAGCCTCCTACAACTGAAACGAAAGAACTTACAAAACAGAGCTAATAAGGAGCTTCAAACAGGTTAAATGCCTATAATAGCATCTAAAATATCTGAAACAAAGCAAATGATACCTTAATCTCTAATGAAAATCTTTAATACAAGTTAGAGAGAGGAAGGGAGAGGATCACCTTCATCACTAACAAAAGTCTAACATAAGTTAGTTTTAGAGAAAGGAGGGGGAGGTTCTACTGTCAACAGACATGTAAGCTATGAGTTAGAACTAAGAGAAGAATTTGTATTGCTTTGCAGAAAGAGCAATTTGTCGCGCTCCTCCAATAGGTGCAAGGATCATTATCAAAACACCAACTATTATTGCTATCTGAAATGAAAGGAAATTAAAAGTGTTAGTATTTTTACAGGCCCTGTTCACTTTTCAGTAAGTTACTTATCCGGGTAAATGCGTTATTTAGGTAAATTTTTCTTATAAAACACTTGCCCAGGTAAGTGCATTTACTCATGTTCTTTTATTTCTTATGTAAATAAGGAAATAACCATTTTAGCCATAAAAATTCGTTATTAAAAGGGACATTTTTGTTCCATTTAAGTATTGGCAACTTTCTCCCTAAGTGGAAAAGTTATTTATTTTGCTACGTAAGTGATACCCAAGAAAATAAAATTTTCCTGATCCCCACATAATTATAAAAGAAGAATATAGGATTCCTGGTCAATGGGAACCAAAATCCCATTGATTGTGCCTGTATTGTGTATCTATCCATCTATATATTATTTCTGTCATGTAGGATGCATCAAAATGCAAGTTATGGGCCTTATGGCATTATGAGGGCCCCATAAACCAAGCACATAGATGAGGACCCACTGCTTAAAAAGTGAGACCCACAACCCACAACCAAAACCAGTTGAGAACAACATGCAAATAAATCAGTAACCATGTTAGTGGTAATATCTATCTGCACCTACCCAACTTGCAATCCAATGGAAGCTCCAGCTTTTTGGCTTCTTAATGATAAGCCACATGACACAAGGGAGCTGCAGCAATTCAGCAAATACCCAACTATTACTTGTCATGGAACTAGTCTGAAAAGAGGGAAGCTGTAAAGTTTCAAGTGTGGGAGTCACTCACAAAATATGAAGTGGATGCAAATACTAGCCCTCCAAAGAACCCCAGTAATCCTCCAAAGAAAGGGATGCAAATTCCAATAAAACCTGTTAAGGCTGCAATAGTTGCAGAAAAGATGTAAATTAAAGCCATTTCATGTGAAGGGATGATCATGCTCCTAATTAAATTAAACATTCTCCTTTATAAACAGTATACAATCGGTTTGTATGAAGGAAAAGGGAAGAAAAAACACTGAATTTGCTACCCAAACGCCTGACTTAGTTATTCTTCATTTAATTTTTAGGCGTAGTTTGGAAATACATACAAAATAATATAAAATACAAGGTTTTGCACTCTATATGTTTATATTTATACTCGTTCCAAACTGAGCTTTTATTCTTTTCTTTGTTACTCACCAACATAAGTACTACGTGCAATGAGGCGTAGAGCACGTCCAGGGTTGAACTTCAATTTCTGTATCAAGACGGATTCTATCAGGTCGAACACCGGCATCGCGAACACCTGCAACCCAAAACCATGAGATTCATATACAATCTCATCGTTCCAAATCAAGCAATTCTTTACTACAAGTTTCCGAATCACCTGATAGCTTCCTATGACATGCAAAAAGACCATAAAATTTGCAGCTGCAATGAGCCAACGAGGTTCCTCTAGTGATACCAGGACGTCATCTTCTACAGAATCGCCAAATGCCCAGAAACCAGAGATGGCGACGGAGAAATAGCACAGGGCCACAATGATGTATGCTACAATCACTCCTTTCCACATGGGTTTCCTTGATGGCTTCTCTGGAGAGGAAGGGATTGTGGCTTGAATCTCTAGAACTACACTGTGGCCTGCAAAGGCGAAGGCAATTGTCCCCAGCCCAGAGAAGACATCGAAGATGACACCTGCTGTCGTGTGTGATCGAACTCCATATCTCACTGGATGATGATGCGTACCCTTAATCGTGGATGCAACGAAAGCTATGGCTGAGTAACTGCAATTCATTCATTAATAATATATAGAGATCAGTTCTTAGACACACATGAAAAATATTGAAAGCTAAAGCGCCTGTTTGGTTCACGGGAATAGGGGTATGGAATCTAAATTGGAATGGATCATTCTGATTCTAACTGTTTCATTGAGTGGAATTGGAACGCTATTCCTAGGGATGGCAATTTTTCCCGTAAAATTGGAGTCTTATCCCGAGCAGGGCAGGTTTTGCATAGAATTCCCAAACCTGCCCTGAATCCGATGATAAATTAGTAAAATATCTTTAGATGTAATATTAATTTTAAAAATATCTTTAAGTTTTTCTCAAATTCCTAAAATCATAGGATCCCATAATTCTATTTCTAAAATATCCTGAATTAAATGTATTTTTAGGTTGTTGCCTCAGGGAAAAAATAATCTGGTGATTTTCCGTGGAACCTGCCTTATTGCCATTCCCCCATTTGAGAGAATGGCCATACCTTCCCCTTCTCTCGGGAATAAAATCCCATTACACCTTATTCCTATCTAAACCAAACAGACTATGACAATATATCATTCGGATTCGGATTTCGATTTCAACTACTAACGAAATGGACTCTAACAGACCCTAAAGTGTAGGGTACATACCTGAATGACATAATTGCAGCCAAGAGTGATATTCCCCTCAAGGAGTGAAAGTTGGGAGCTTGGGAAAGCACCAAATGTATGAAAGCAAAGAAGACAATGTATAAGGTTTGCCTGAGAGGCATTAATCTTGGGAAGGTGAGTTCCACGAATTTCTTTAGTGACTTTCCACCGGTGACCATGTAAACTATATCGGAAGCTATTTGAACAGTCAGCTGTTGAGGCATTACAATCCAGTATCCAAGCTTCACTCCAAATGCATGCTCTCCTAATTGGGGATAGCGATCAAATCGTTTCCCTGGAACCACTTCGTGCAACTCTACTAGTTGCCACAGGGAGTAGAGTGTGGTCATCCATGAAACCGTTATAGCAAGGATTCCAGATATCCTGAAAAATGTTAAAACCAACCTTATATATTAATTACAGAAGAAGTTTAGTGGATATAACAGATTTCTGTGATTGCTCCATTGGTTTCAAATCCAGCCTTTATCTGATTATCAGTTAAAAGAAAAGGCATCTATAACAAGCTAGTGTAGCTAAATCATAACCAGAAATATCTAGAATTGATCACATTGGCGCCCCACAGCACATCCTAACTGTGTATTGCGAATATCGCTCAATGACATGTACAATGGATGTTCTCAATGCATGCTGAGATGCACATGTGGGGCGTGCTGATGCGAACTCTTTTATTTGGTGGGAGCCTAGACAATCTCATATATAAGACAACCGACGTCCCACAAGAAAACCGTTTTCATAAATGACTTGCTTTGGATGCACACCCGTCCATTTTGCTCATTCTGCTCTAATTCCACGGGCGAGATCCTTTTCAATATCTCCTTTTTATGAATTATTGAAGCAAGTTACACATTGATTGAATTATCTCTTGGTCTCTAATCCTATGTGTACCTTGATTTGTACTCTTATCATCATCATCATCATCATCTTCATTATTATTGTTATTAAATTTATATAACATATATTCTATTCTGGTGCTATTTATAAACTTAATTTTGCATTCAATCTTGGGTGGTCACCATGAAATATTGAAGATCAATCAGGGAAAATTAAAAGAGGACCAACACACTCTGGTTAAATGAATCATTAGTAAAAATATATATATTAATAGACCAGCAAAAGATTTTAATAGGATAAATGTTCGTTTGGCCTAAAACATCGTTTAGAAAAAACATAGTTCAAAAGCTAATTAATTGATGGCATTTTCTTTATTTGAGAATGAATTTAGGTGGAGAGGAACATACCATCCAAGCTGGGACATTGCAAATGGTAAGCCCAGAACACCAGCACCAACCATGGCTGTCACATTGTGGAATGCTGAGTAGTACCATTTGGCTTTTCGAGTTGCTGTTATTGGTAGCCAGTTATCCAAGTTCCTCTCTCTTTGTGGTCTTTCCGCTTGTGCCTGTCAGCCATTAACACCATCAAATAGCATCAATATAAAAGCTTTGTGGAGAGAGAGAGAGAGAGAGAGACCGAGAGAGGTTGATTGGAGGTTGTCTCTGTGAAGCACATTTCCTTGAATCTCTTAATTATCAGAGTATGTGGCTAACTGAACATCTGATAAAACAGAAAGGGAAAAAGGCAAATTGGGAAGTTGTGTTTTAGTGTGTATATATTATATATAAATCCTTGACTAATCTGGAGATCCGTCCAATATATTAGTTTTAGTGGATAGATTTAAATTCTTCATTTATCCAGAGATCCTACTATAGCGGGCTTGGTTAAGACGTGGGACTTGACTTAGTAAGAGAGTATCTGCAAAATCAAGATGGTTAAGGTACGTGGTTAAACTACAAAAAACAGAACACCTTCTTAGATTGAAGCGGCAATTGTCACTCCTCTTTTCGCTCCGCAGCTCTTTATTTGATTCATCCACTCAACTACATTAACTAAAATTTCTTCTAAGGCTCAGTTTGAAGGAGTACAAATACAAATATATAGAGTACAAAACCTTATATTTTGTATATATATTTATACTGTACATATTTGTATTTGTACTCTTTTTAAACCGAGCCTAATTATCATCTTATTTAAAGGCTTTTACAGTCTCTTTCTCTCTCTTACCCATAAATTATCCATTTTACACCTAATATTATCAATTTATCATAATCAAATATGGTTTTAAAAACTGACCCAAAAATCGAACCACTTTAACCATTCATTCCTGGATCAAATCTCAATTAAACAGTTTTGAGGGTTCAAAATCGACCCGGAGCCATAACTGGTTCCCAAGTCAATCAGTCCGAGACCATCCGATCTGGTATCATGGGTCCTATTCATCTTTCTCACCTCTCCCCTACCTCACCAGCACCAATCCTCTCCCTTAGAAAGAAATAATAGAGTTAGCTTTGGGACATTAATCAAACAACTGAAAAGCATTACTGGATGATACCGTTATCTTTGATGATAAAACAAAAAATAATGCCCAGAAATTAAAATTCCACAGTTTTGAGACAGTAGTGTTGGTCCAGATGACCGTGAAAGAAGTTGAAAGCTTGTAGTGATGACTTGTTCAAGTTAAGCACTCCTTTCATGGGCGAGTGGACACGTTTCTTCATTTCTCCCTCCCTTTCACGTGGAGTAAATATTTGCTCCCATTTGGCATTTACGATGGGAGTGTGATTGTATAAAGACTGGTGAAGTTGAGGACTTCTATGAAAAACGTAAGAAATTAATCTTGTTTGGGTTATGATCCATGACACCTAAATTGGAGGATAGTAATACTGTCACAAATGCAGGTGATAGGGTCATGCATCGGGGAGTTCAAATCAGCCCCCCATAACGTCTCACAGCACATCCTTACCATGTATTGCGAACATTTCTCTAATGATAATATTAGGAATGATGATGTCATCATCGGGAAATACTCTTAATATGCGGCAAGTATGTGTTCTAGGATGTTGTGGGGGGGGGTTGATTCAGTCTTGTCATGAGGGTGCAATAAGTCCAAGCTCCTTCTAGGCCTGAGGTCAAGTTAAACTATCCAATTGAAACTTAGCCCGTATTAAAATTTGATGCATTTGGATTGGGCTCAAATTGATCAATCAGCCAACACTCAAAAACAGCAGGGCAGAATAGCACTTCTATACATATTTTGCCTATGATCATCCCTTGGAATCCACCTGATTGAGGCATGCAATAAATTAATAAGATCCCTGGCTTCAGATAAACCATGATCCAGCCTCCAAGGTCCTCCCTCCTCCTTGTCTAAACCTTCAACTAAGGGCATGTTTGGTAGCGCTGAATCAACCTCTGAGCATCAAAATTTTTTTATTTTAATTAGCACTTCAGCGTCCTTTGGTCGGTCTGTTACTTCCAAATGCGCTCAAAGTTTTTTTTTTCCTACTTCATGGGGCTATACAATCGGGGGATAACCCATAACCCCTCAACTCTGGTGTAGGTGGGATTCAACCCCAAGCCTCCATTACAACTAGAAGGAGGCTTTACCACCCAACCAGTTGTCACCTTGCAAATGCACTCAAAAGTAGTGTATGATATTTTGATCTCTACAATATTTCTTCAAAATGAAAGAAGAAAAAATCCATCTACTTTGCATTCATCTTCCTCTTTGTTCGGTGATTGAAACGAGTTTGGATATATGGGGAGATATTCCATATTTGCATGTTATCATTCATGGGAAGATATTCCCAATGTACAGCTGTAATGTCATGTGTATAGGCGTGGGTAGGAGATCTAAATTGGATCGAAATGGACTTGGCCACTACATCTAGCACAGCCTTGATCAAGTAGACACAACATTGTAAGCACGTTCAATGGGTACTTAGAAATTTTTTTGACACTTGTCCCTTAAAATACTCTTATCCTATCCCTGAAAAAGATTAAAAACAACATTTGGCAGTTGTTAGAATATCTATTAAATGCTTAAAAACTGTGCTCATGAGTTTGATTTTTCCTTCAAGTCTTCCATTTTGAACTTTGGCTTGGTTTGGAAGAAGTACAAATACAAATATGTTGAGTGCAAAATTATGTATTTTGTATTTATTTATACTGTATATATTTGTATTCGCATTCCTTTGAAGCTGAGCCTTGGGAACCCAACCCCACATCTTCTCCTGTTCATCCACCTTCCTCTTCTTCCCCGAAGATGAATAGGAGGAGTAATTAAGTTCCAATGTTTGATGATCACCGGTGTCTCTGAAACTTCTTCAATGCAAAGAACCTCTCAACCTTCTATTCTTATTTCAACTCTTTTTTTTATATAACCAAAATAGACTATACAAGACGAGGGGTAGCACATCCCCAAACATCAGCAACACAAATAGAAAAAAGAGGGGAAGGAAGAGAAGCTAAACTAAGATTAATGGACTTTGAAGGAGCAGATAGAACTTCGTGCGCCAGCCAATCAGCCGCCTAGTTTGCCTCCCGATAGATAAGCTTGTACACCAGAACTCCTCGAAACTTGTCCTTTAGCTTGATACAGTTATTGATGATGTGTCTTATCTTCCAAGGAGCTGGGATCAACTGTTTGAGACAAGAAATGACAAGTTTGTAATCACCTTGGATAGGATAATCTCTAAAATTCAAGGCCAAATTATGGCCTCCCCACGCTACCCAAGTTTTCGCAATGCCAAGCTTATAAGCCTTGATGTCTAAGACTTTCCCAAAATGATCTCTACCAATGCTCGCAACTGAGCAAAAACCCTGCCCATTCCTGGATGCATCAAAGTTAATCTTGATATGATCTATATTGAGAGATTTTCAAATAATTGTCAATATTCCTTTCATTGAAATCCCTAAACAGACTAAGAGCCTTTTCAATAACTAATTGAGGTGGGGCAGCCATTTTCTTGAACACTTTCTGATTTCCTTTTTCCATATTTCCCATAGAATACAAATGATTTTTTCTTTCTCTTGTCCAAATGTTCCTTCTTTCCCTTTCCTTATTTTAATCCACCAATCCATCATATGGAACGGATTAATCACTTGCCATATTTGCTTAGCAAAGGAACACTCCCTAAAAACATGAGGTGTATCCTCTTCCACTCCACAAAATTCGCAATCACCACTAATGTTTGCTCCCCTTTTCCTAAGGAGGCTTATAGTGGGAAGTCTATTGTTTATAAGAAGGTATAAAAAGGTTTTCAGTTTGGGGGAGCACTTTATGTTCCAAATCTCCTTAATGTTGTTTCTATTAACTATTTCTAAAAGTGGCTTTTGAAACACCCAATTGTCTTGTCAAAGTTTAATGGATTCCCCATTCCCCACATTCCATTTTATCCCTTTTGATACAAGGTCTCTAGCTTGAAGAATCCCTCTCCAAGCCCATGAAACACCTTTTTTGAGCTTGGCATTCCCAAAGTCCTCTCTTTTTAAATATTTATTACTAACCACCTGAACCCAAAGATTATTTTTCTCTTTTAATACTTTTCACCCAAGTTTTGCTAAGTGTGCCTCGTTGACCCAAAGAAGATACCTAATACCCATTCCCCCACATCTTTTGGTTTGCAGACTCTTTCCCATTTCATTAGGTTCAAAGGTCTTCCACCATTTGATTTAGACCAAAGAAAATTTCGTTGAATTTTAACTAGGTCATTAATGGTATTTTTTGGAATCTGGAAGGATCTCATTATAAACTGAGGCGTCATATTGGAAACTGAATTTATTAAAGTTAACCTTCCAGCCAAGGAGAGAGAATTCTTTTTTCAATTTGCTAATTTTGACTCGAGCAGAGCAGGAGCTTGAGCTCAAGTCTCTAATTCGAATCGAGCTCGAGCCTAATAGTTTATGAGTGAGCCCCTGCAACGTAAGACCCCCTCCACTAGTATATATATTAAAGAGAAAGGGGTGTCCTCCCCTTTAGAAAATGGAGTTACCGTAGATCAAAACTTCTCCATTGCATTGTAAGTATGCGTTCATATTTCTTTATATTTTTTTCATTGCATGATGCGGCATTTGTCTATACTCCGGTATCTTTCTTCTTCGAGATCCTTCTTCCTATTTCCCTCTCTATCTTCCGCCTCTCTTCTAGAGGCTTCCTCTTTCTTGTAGCTGAGGATTCTCTTGTCCTCTCCTTCTCGCCGGAAGAACTTGAGCAATGCTGTTTCACTACCTCACCGTCGGTTATCTCATTGCGTCGTAAGAACTCGAGCAATGCAGAAACCACCGGCCTCCTATTACTCTCTCTCCCTTCCTCTCTATTGATGTTGGAGTTGCTGCTTCTCCCGTACTTCGTATCTTCACTTTCATTTTATTTTTTTTTCCTTTTCTTCTTTTGCAATTATATGGACTTCTCGTCTTTCATTTTCCCTCCTCTTCCCTGGTCCCTGGTTTCTCTCTCGCACGCCCTGTGTCAGAATTGCTCTCTTTCCATTTAAAGAATCCGCTGGGCCGTTGGCTATTTCTTCTCAACTCCTCCTCCAGATTTCTCCCTCTTTGTCTCAAGGTATGGTTTTTCTTGCTCTGTTTCTATGAATATTTTCTCTATGCTTTTTAGACTCAGTCGTCTCAATTTTAAATTTTACTTCATGGCTTTTAGATTTCACTTTCCACGTTCTTGGCTTTGAAGGTTGTAATTGATGTTTGTATACGACTTGACCAAATACATAATCTGTTGAACTGGGTTACAGATTGTTGTTCATGAATTCTAAATTTGTTTTAATGGATTTTCTACCCATACGTATGGTTTCTGAGAACAAAAAGTACTCCATGAAAAGTATTGATTTTTTTCTAGGACTTTGGATGCATATTATTTCTTTTTAATGGAATCGGATATTAGCAGGTTATAGAAAAGGTAGGGTTTCTTCTGACGCTCCTTTGGTTGTGTTTCTTTTTTGGAATTTTAGACGCCTTTAAGTATATTCTTCTGTCTGTAACGTTGTGAAAGTTGGAGTTTGGTTGTTTCAGTTCTTCCACCCGACACGCTATCTTTGTTTTTATTTATTTTTTATTTTTTGGTGGCAGAGCTTGCGAATCCATTGAAATTTTTCGGAAGCCCCTAAAATGCCTTTCCATTGATATCTTATATCATTATATCTTATGATATATATATACAAATTCGATCGAAGTTCTTGCTTTCCAAAACTTTCTAAAAACCAACTCCTAATCCAAAAGAAAATACAAAACTTCTAAAACTTCTAAATCTTAATTGTACAAGGAATATACAAATCCGGGATGAGGATGAGCCTTCAAATCCAGGATGAGCCTTATCTTCGTCCAATACTTCCCCTCAAGGTGGTGCATGAGGATTGCAAATGCCCAGCTTGGGAAGGAAAAAATCAAACTGTTTTTGTCCGAGAGCCTTTGTGAAAATGTCGGCAACTTGTTCACCGGTACGAACATAGGAAGGCGCAATGGTGCTAGCTTGGAGCTCATTGCGAATGAAATGACAATCAACTTCAATATGTTTGGTTCGTTCATGGAAGACAGGGTTTGCAGCAATGTGCATAGCAGCTTGATTGTCACAAAACAAGCATATAGGTTGAGGATGAGATATACCCAAAGACGACAGTAGACCTTTTAGCCACTTAACTCATAATTGACTGTAGCCATTGACCAGTATTCAGCCTCGGCAGAGGAACGGGAGACAGTATGTTGTTTCTTAGTCTTCTAGGAGATGGGGGAATGTCCAAACATGATAAAATACCCACTAAGAGAGCGATGAGTTAAAGGACAACTTGCCCAATCAGAATCACAATAGACATACAATTGCAGATCATTATCAGAGTGCAAAAATATTCCTTGACTAGGACGTCCTTTCAGATAACGAACCACATGTAATGCCGCATCCCAATAATCAACACAAGGACATTGCACAAATTGAGCTAGGACATGAATGCAATAATTGAGCTCCATGTAATGGTTAAATAAATCAAACGGCCCACAAGACGTCGATATCGTTCAGGGTCATCCAGGAGTGCTCCGTCAGCAAGGGAAGTTATGATTCTGAGTAATAGGCAAGTGAATAGGTTTGGATCCCAATAAGCCAGATTCTGTAATAATATCAAGTGCATATTTTCTTTGTCAAAGAAATATCCCCGATAATCCGCGAGTTACTTCGATGCCCAAAAAATATTTAAGAACACCCAAGTCCTTCATGCAATAACACCGATTCATATACTGTTTAAATTTGCGTATGAACTCCGGGTTATTCCCACCAATAATTAAGTCATCAACATAAACCAGGACGTGCAAGACAACCCCACTTTTGCGATATGTAAATAAGGAATAATCGAAATAGGACTGTTCAAACCCAAAAGTTTTCAAAGTAGCACCTAACTTAGAGAACCAGTTCCGAGGGGTTTGTCGCAGACAATACAAAGATTTCCGGAGTTTGCATACCTTTCCAGTCCCGGAGGCCAAAAAACCTGGAGGAGGTTTCATATAGAGCTCCTCATGGAGATCACCGTGCAGAAAAAGCATTGTGGACATCCATCTGATACAATTCCCAATGTTGGGCCGCAACAACTGCTAAGAAGGTTCGAACTGTGTTCATTTTAGCCACAGGGGCAAAGGTCTCATTGTAATCAATACCTTCAACTTGAGTGTTGCCCAAGAGTACCAACCGTGCTTTAAATCTTTCAATGGATCCATTAGAGTTGTACTTGATTATGTAGACCCATTTTCAGGTGGGAGGTCTTCCAAGATCCATGTCCTATTGTCTTCCAAAGCCTGTATCTCTTGAAGCATACCCTCATGCCACCGAGCATCAGTCATTGCCTCAGAGAAACGAGTAGGTTCTCGGCCTACAGTGACATCTGCCAATTTTGTGTTTCATAGAAAAATTATCATATGTCATATAATGAGTTATGGGATAAGGAGTACGTGAGGACTGAGATGATGCAAGAGAAACAACGAAGGGGTCTAAGTGATGAGCTGAGTATGTGACAAAGTCCTATAAATAGCTGGGGGTTCGCTTTTCTCGATGTCAGCGGCCTAATACCTCTGTGGTGTGCTGAGGAGCAGCTGGAGTTTCATTATCTCTGTAATCTGTATGGCTCCTTGTCTCATTAAGAGGACTTGCCTCCTCATCTTTACCCGTGTTCGGATGTCCTTCTTCATTGATCGTGTCGCTCCCCCTGACTTCTATATGAGATGACTCAGATACCATGTCGGGAGGAGTGGTCCAAGGCAACCCAATATTTTTTTTGGCTACAGGAGGACTGGTTACAGAGGGTTGATGTTCCAGAGTGGCAAGGGAAACTCGGCCTCACTAAACACCACGTCTCGTGAGACGAAGTAATCACTAGATTCAAGGTCGTACAATTTCCACCCATTTTTTCCAAAAGGGTACCCAATAAAGACACATTTCCTACTCCTAGCAGCAAACTTTTCACGATCCTGAATATGCGAGAAACATAAGCAACCAAAAACTTTGAGATGTTTATAAGAAGGACTTTGTCCAAATAGCATCTCGTAAGATGTTTTACCACCAAGAAGGGTCAAAGATGTCCGGTTAATCAAGTACCTTGCGGTCAAAACACACTCACCCTAGAAATTGATTGAAAGATGTGCTTGAAACTTGAGCACTCTGGCCACATTCAAAATATGACGATACTTTCTCTCCACACGACCATTTTGTTGTGGTGTTCCAACGCAGGAAGTTTGAAATAAAATTCCTTGCTCGTCAAAATATGACTTCAAGGATTTAAACTCTGTTCCATTATCACTTCTTACCACCTTAACCTTCTTATTAAATTGACGTTCAATTATAACACATAATATTTTGAGTGTTCTACCAACTTCACTTTTTTCAGCCAGTAAATAAATCCAAATCGCTCAAGAATAATCATCAACAATTGTCAGAAAATATACCGCATCACAAGATGCAGGTACTCTATAAGCACCCCATAAGTCACAATGAATTAATGCAAAACAATCAGTCACCTTATTGTTGCTTTGAACAAAAACATCTCTAGTTTGTTTTTCCTTCAAACAAACATCACAGATTTTGTTCTTACTATTACTGATATAAGAAGTAAGCTAATCGTTTGATAACAAGGGTGTCCCAATCTCTGATGCCACAAATCACATGACCCAATTCCATCTGTCTTGTAAGCTCGAACCGGCACCATACCCTTGAAGACATAGACCCCATCAAGTTGTTCACCTGCGCCAATCAGAGTCCTCGAGATGTGGTCCTGTATCACACACAACTTATTATTAAACGTCACAATATAATTTGTGTCACGAAATAACCGACCTACTGACAATAAATTACAATTGAGTTTTGGGACATATAATATGTACAGCAATTTAAAATTATTTCCAAGCTCAACGGTGCCTTCTTTCACGGCCTCGGTGTGGGCACCGTTGGGTAACCTAACAGGACAAGGTGCAACATCATAGGTATCGACGAGCACATTTAAATTCCCTATCATGTGATGTGATGCCCCAAAGTCGACAATCCATTTAGTGGAGTAATTCTTACCAGAGAGTTTTTCATTAGTTCTGGTTTTGTAAGCATTAAGCATGCTTACAAGAGTCTGCCATTGCTCGTCATTAAGCCCGTTCAGTCCGGTCCTGTCTTCGTCAGTCACGACTGCATTAGCAGCCACCTCATGCCCTGTCGACGACTGGGCAGCATGAGCTTTTGTCGAACCTCGGCCACGTCCGCCAAAGGGTCCACCCCCTTTTCCTCAACCTGCTCCACGCCCGGTCGACGTATCGTGGGGTCTGTCTCCTCACCATTCAGGGTAGCCAATTAACTGGAAACAATTCTTTGCTTCATGGCCAGATCAACCACAATTGTTACACACAATTCTTTTGTCTGGTGGATGCAAATAGAAAGGAGAAGACAGTCCAACAGACTTACTCGAGCTCTCACCATTCCTGTCATTGTTGGTAGCCATGGTAACCAATCAGCAAGATTCATCCGAGTTGATTGATTATTGCAAGTAACACGTCGAGTTTGATTCTAAGAGGTAGATGGACGATCCTAACGAGGCTCACGAAGAAATCAGAACAAGTGATCCCACCGATTCTGAGCTCCTGCCTGGTTTCCTCCAATCCCGCAACACCGAGCGAGAACTAGATGTCGACGAAGCGAAAGGAGCGAGAAACGAAGGTTAAAGTCCGTTCACGTTCGAGCTCGTCATGTCCAAGCAACTGGCAGCCACAGTTTAGCAGAAAGAGCGAGGAGAGAGAATATAAATGCCTGGACGAAGCTCCTCCAGGAACTAGGACTCAAAGTCACCGACAATAGGCTGTGGTCGGAACAAGATCTATAGTCGATAACCGTCGGTCGCGCAAGAGAAGATAAATGCTTGGATGAATCTCCTCCAGGAATTGGGACTCAGAATCGTTGATAATCGGCTGTGGTCAGAACAAGATCTGCAGCTGATAACCGTCGGTCGCGCAGCGAATAGTAACGCTTGCTCTGATACCATAAAAAATTTCGGAAGCCCCTAAGATGCCTTTTCATTGATATCTTATGATATATATATATATATAAATTCGATCAGAGTTCTTGCTCCTCAAAACTTTCTAAAAACCAACTCCTAATCCAAAAGGAAATACAAAACTTCTAAAATTTATAAATCCTAACTGTATAGAGAATATACAAATCCGGGATGAGGATGAGCCTTCAAATCTGGGATGAGACTTATCTTCGTCCAATATCCATCCTTCTCTTTTAATAAATTTGCTTATTTTCCCTTTTGTTTTCCATTTTTCTTCGATGGTAAATGTTTTATGGATTTATCATTTTATTGCATCCATTGCCACTACCATTAAAAGTAGATTAAATTATCAAAATCGGAATTTCAAATTATCAAGTGACACAACTGCCTTTAGGTTACTCAATATTTAATAAGGAATAAAATGTATCCTATTTCTGTTTTTTCTTTATTAACCTAGATCTCTTTGTATTTGATCCTTTCATTTTACTCTCTTACTAAACTTATTTATCTCCATTGAAGGGCCATGCAGTGGTTGTTCTTTGTAGTTTTGATTAACAAAGTCCAGTAATTTTAATCACCCCAAAACTCTTCCCTTTTACTTCTTTTATCCTATCATATTAATGTTAAAAATATGCTCCTACCAGTCTTGTATGTTGAGATTATTCTTTCTACATGGTGGTCGTAGTTTTTATTATCTAATGAATGGTTTTGCCCACGAAAATGCTGTGTGTTGCATGTAGGTATGTTGTGGAAAAGGATGTCAAAAATAATGTTGTATTTGTCTCAAGAAATTATTACTCATTTGACAAAACAAGGCGCATATTCCGTGTTGGATCCCTGTAATGGCTTGCTGGATTGCCTCCAGATCAGTTTAATAAGCTCCAGTTCAAGGTAGGAATTCCCAATTTTATTTTTTATTTTCCATACCTTGCCAGTTATTGGTAATAGTTTCCACAAGCAAACTATCTCAATGCATACAATGTGTTTTCTACTCTTGGTAATGATGTTTATTCTGTTTGATGAGATTTAACATCAGATAAATTTGATCGTGTGTGCTTCTAATGTAATTATGATTATTGATAATTTGGATGATGTACAAATTTTAGGTTCGACATGGTCTTGGCTTTTATATGATTTGTAGTTTAATAATGGAAACTGGTGAAGATGGTGATAGAACTACTGTTGTTGTTCATTTATCTGAGGATGATCAAGGCTTGGCTGCTGGGCAGTTTGCAGCCTTGTACCAAGGAAAAACTTGCATAGACTGTGCAAAGGCTCTTGAAATTGCAAAAATGGAAGATAAATCCAAGCTTGGGAAACCAGTTAAGATTTAGGTCAATCTAGAAAATTCTTTAAAGAGTTCTGAAATTACAGATAAATTGGAACTTAATGGAAAATCTTTGAATCCAGAAGATACTACCCTTGATAAACTGGTTTCAGAAGCTTAGAGAGAAGTGGTTGCAGATACTCTAATTTTCTAGACTTTCTGACCATTGAACTCACAGTGCAGAGAGAGAAATATAATCCTTAGTGATCTCTTCTCACGGAGGTTAATTCTTGCAAGGTATTTCTTGGTAATGGAAGTTAGTGAAGAGCTCTCTTTCGTTCTTGTTTTACTTCCAAGTTCTAGTGCCATTTTCGTCGTCTCTTTAATAATTTAATGGCTGTGTTATAATGGTAAATGCTTTGGAGTCTGGGCCTCCTTGGAATTGGTAGGAATTAGGAACTGGTAAGAGCTACACGAGAATATCCTATTAGGCTTAATGTTTTAGTAGGTTCATTGGCACATTAATTGCGATTTTATGACCTAAATTATTGAATTTTGCTTTATTTCCTTAAATTGTTCTATACTCTAACCATCTAACAACTCTACTTATCTTATTAAATTGTTGTATTATTGTAATCATTTTCGTTTGTTGTTATTACAATAACAATATGAGAGGTAAATTTATAAAATGCATATTTTTCAGATGTCATAACATTTAGATTACCTTTCATTCCAATGTATTAAAAAAAACACATTTTCTATGGAATGCTTTTAGAGCTTTTTTTAGAGAGTTTTTTGCCTTTTAGACTTTTAAGACTTTGTGTTTACCAAACTCCACCTATGAAAGAAGAGAAGTCATTTTGTTTTGTTATTCTTATCCCAGTTTGGGGCTTAGGACTGTCAATGGACCAAATATTCATCCAACCCGACAGGATTCAATATAAGTCCATTACAAATGGACAAGATCCTGGACTGGTCCAATTCAATGTATGGACCATCCAATCTGTTCAAATTGGTTTTAGTTTAGACTGGGTCCAACCTGAATCTGATACATTAACACCTACATTTATATCTTCTATGAATGGACTGGATATTGGTTCAACTTCGCCCAATGTTACTGATGGACTAGGTCTCATCCAATCCAATAAATACTTTGGTTCATTAAGTCTAGATAGACTCAATTCAGTATTTCTTATTGGTCCATCAACCTATTCAAATTGATTTGGTTTCAAATGGAATCCAAGCCAAACCAAGTTTATGGACACCCCAACCCCAATTAACACTACCATCTCAAGTTTTTTCTACAATAAGTCAGAT